TTATTTTGATATATCACAGTGAAAGATTTATCGTCCTCTTTTTTTTTTTTTTTTTTTTTTTTTTTTTAAAAAAAAAAAAAAAAAAAAAAAAAAAAAAAGAGGAAATGACTTTTAAATCTTAGTTCATATACTTGCACAACTGCTAACCTTTTTTAAAAAATATTTTATTTATTATTTTTATTTTATGTGTATGCATGTATTGCCTGCAGGTAGGTAAGTGTACCCATGTCGTGCAATGCCCACAGAGGACAGAAGAGGCTGTTGGATCCCCTGGAACTGGAGTTATGGACAGTTGTTACCTGCCATGTAGGTGCTGGGATTCAAACCTGGGTCTTCTGCAAGAACAGCCAGTGTTCTTAACCGCTGAGCCATCTCTCCAGCCCCGTAACTGCTAACCTTTTAAACTGGGCAATACTGTTTGTCACTTTTTCAAACAATGTGATCTAGGATATAATTCTCTAACTCCAACACTAAGTTATTTAATCCTTTGACCCTTAATATTCTTATCTGTAAAGTAGAAAAACAACTATATTATATATCACTCAAAGTTGTTTTCATAACAAAAATAATGATCAAAAAAGCATTTTGAAAACCACAAAGCAAAAACGAGGTATTATTAGCACCAACAGAGGTTCCCACAGTTTGAGAGGCCATCCTGGGCCAGGGGAAAGATGTTTTCCTTGTCCTCATTTCACCAGGCAAGAAGCTGCAAAGGGTTCAGCTTTGTGTGAGTAGCTTGGCTTTCATTCTGTGCACGTGGGTTGCAGCTCACCCTCTCCTCCCTGGGCTTCAAAGCTCAGGCCCTGACCTCTGAAATCTATTCTGGCCATGCATGTATCACAACACCATCTTCCAAGCACCAGTTTGAGTTCATTCTTCATGTTTGGTACATCATTTTCTTAGCTGTTAATATTGGAACTATTTTAATATGTTATTTGGTATTTTTTGTGTGCTTGAAATAAGAAGAATCATATTCCATGTCAGTTCAGTCTAAAACTGACCAGAGGGCATCCAAGTATAATGTGTACTCTTATGAGATGAGGGCTTGCTATGTTGCTGAAGCTGGTCTTGAACTCCTGAGAGCTCAAGTAGTTCTCTGGCCTCAGTCTCTAGAACCAGGATCAGATGATGATCAGAAATGATACAAATAATATGATATTTAATGTTCATTACTTTTTTGTCCCTATAAAACTGCTTAGGTTCTTTCTGTTGTTGTTTAAAAAAGAATTTCATCAATTAATGTAAATTCTTGAATACCAAAAACATAAAATACTTTTTTGATCTTGGAACCAGGGAACCATCCAAATACCTGATATCATAATACAGGTGTCTTTTGATCGCCTCTTCATAGCCTTGTAAGCAGCATCAGCAATGGCAAAAAGATGAGGAGGTCTTTCATACAGCTCACGACCTTTATACTGCTCAATTGTGTCCTTCCCATAGATGTTCAGCACCTTGTATGGGTTCACAGAAACAACCACTTCTCCAATGAATGTGTAGATGCGTCCTTTCTCAAACCTGTGCAGAAGCAAAAGGAAAAAGTAGCTGTGGTTACAGAGAAGTGGGATTTCTTTCCTCTTAGTTTCTTATTACTAAACAAGTCTGAATATCCCAGGTTTAATTTCTGAATGAAAGATCATTCCTTCTGAGTTTACTTTTAAAGACCACATTGTAGCTAAGTGTTGTTGCTCCTGCCTATAATTCTAGCTCTTGGGGGGTCAGGCAGGAGGCTTGTTAGGAGGTCAAAGACAGTGAGTTCCCGGTCATCTTGGTGAACAGAGTAAGACCCTGTCTCAAAAACAAACAAAACACATAACAACAAAAACAAAAAACAAAGACTATGTTTGAGTCAGGCATGGCAGTCTATACCTATAATCCTAGCCCTTGAGAGACTGGGACAGGAGAACTGCTGAGAATTAGAGGCCAGCCTAAACTACACAGTAAAGCTCAAAACAACCAACAGGGGCTGAAGGGATGGCTCAGAGATTAAGAGCACTGACTGCTCTTGCAGGGGACCTGGGTTCGAATTCCAGCACCCACATGGTAGCTAACAACAGCTCATAACTCTGGCTCAAAGGGATCCAACCGCCCCCCCCCCGCTTCTGACCTGTATGGGCATTGAAAGACACAGGTACACTTACATATATGCACTTACATAACACTTAGACACAAAAAATAAAAAATAAAAACAAAAACAAAAAACCAACCAACAGCAGAGCTCATATACTTCAGGCAGTGCCCTTCAGAGGCCACTGCTAGGAAAGGCCAGTAGGGGTTAAAAGCCAGGCAAGAAGGAAGAATTTAAGTTGTTGGAGGGTATAGATTTCCAGTTTCCAAAATATAGAAGGGTAAGAAGAGAAAAAAAAAGTTGGAGAAACCTCAGAGCTCTAGTAGGAAAAGAAATAGAAGTTACAGCAGGTCCTGAAATTCACTTAGTCACATTTTCAATTGTAAAGAGGCCTGCTCACATTTATTTCTTCTCCCTCTAGAAGACTCGCTAAATTGTCAGTAAAGGAATAAACACAGTAAAATCCATAACAGAGAGAATAGTAGAGGAGACACTTCTGGTATAAATCAAAATGATTTCTGTAGTGACTGCCTGGAATCCCATGGTACAGATACAGCATGATTTATTTGATGCTTCCCCTCCCCCTGCTATTATGAACAACACCACAGAAAACACCCTGGACAAATAAGCTTACAAATGAGTGGGAAAGACTCTTGGGAATGGGATAGCTGGTTGAAAGTACGTGTATTTGAGGGCCTGGAGGGATGACTCAGCAGAGGACCTGAGTTAAGTTCCCAACACCCATATCAGGGAGCTCACAAGCACTTGTAACTACAGCTCTTTTGGTCTCCTTGGACACTGCATTCACATGTACATATTCCACACACACATATATAATTAAAATAAAAAATATTTATTGTATATTTTTAAAACTATGTAATATGATCCTAGTTTCCTCCATAAAGGAAAGATTAAAAGGCTATCACATTTACAAATGTATATGTCTATCTATACATAGATACATTTAATACATGAGGGCATATGCATGGGAAGATATTGGAGAACATATGGCATGCTTTATCCTTGTATACACACATGGATGGAGAAAAGGAGAAGGAAGGCCATATAGACAGGTCATAAGAATCCATAGGAACAAAGAAAAAAAAGAGCAAAAGCCCCACAGCTGAAATTATAAATAGGGCTACATAAATTTGCACAAAATTTAAACATAAGTAGAAAATCCATGCATACTCACTATTTACACAGTGCTCCACACCTATATGTATGTGTGAACTAGAGATTGATGGTACCCAAGTGGTTTTTATCACTACATTCTACCCACTGAGAGGCACGGGTAGGTGTATACAGTTAACTTTCAGTATCCATTGGAGATTGGTCCTAGGTCACCCCCTGTCCCAATAACAAAATCTGTGGATACTTAAGCCCCTTCTGTGAAATTTCCTAAAATATTTTCCCCAATACTTAAAATTATCTCTAGGTTACTAAGAATACCTCATACAATGTATATGCTATCTAAATAGCTGTTATACTTTCAATCTCTAATTGACTGGATGTGAAGATACCAAATCTGTGGGTGCTTAGGGAAGACTATATCTCCCAAGACTGAATGAAGAGAACACTTACAGGCAAAGATGCTGGTCCTCAGTTTGTTTCTAAGTACCCTGCTATTGTCATTGCTATTGCTATTGAAAAGCAAATTGTTTTGTTTTGTTTTTTATCCTTTTTTTGAGAGAGATGGTATCCCTGTAGTTCCAGCTGGTCTGGAACTCGCTATGTGGACCAGGCTGGCCTCTATCTAAATGCGTGTACCACCATGCCCGGCTCTGAAAGGCCAATTCTTTAAACCTCCTTTATGCTGGAATGAAGATTTTTACCTATAATTAGGAGTGGAAACAAACAGATACAGATAAGGTGAACAATAAATTAGAAACAAAATTTCTGTCAATTAGCTGGTATGTATTTAAATAAGAGCTATTATCAGTGAGGTTTCTTGTGCATTATTCTATTGGGGTTTTCCTACTGATAGTGAAAAGCTCTGAATTCGGCAGAGTCCTTTACAGCTGGAACTTAATGCCCACATTCTTAACAGCAGTGAGACCCTGTGCAAGTTATTTAACCTCCTTGTGTTTCAGCTTCTCCATCTGTAAAAATGGTAATATTATACCCATCTATCCCTCTGGCATTGAATAACTGCTTTACTTATTTTTTCCCCCAAAAGGGAAACTGGCTGGGTATGGTGGAGCATACCTTTAACTCCAGCACTTGGGAGGCAGAGGCAGGTAGATCTCTTTGAGACCTTGGCCAGCCTGGTCGAGAGAGAGAGAGAGAGAGAGAGAGAGAGAGAGAGAGACAGAGAGAGAGAGAGAGACAGAGAGAGAGAGACAGAGAGAGAGAGAGAGAGAAAGAGAGAGAGAAGAGAGACAGAGAGAGAGACAGAGAGAGAGAGAGAGACAGAGAGAGAGAGAGAGAGTTCCAGGACAACGGGCTACAGGGAGACCATGTCTTGAAAAACCGCCACCACACCATCACCAGCACTAACAACAAAAAGACAACTAATCTTATACTTCTGTTATGCTATGCATGAAGATGAGATTTGTCTGTTTTGAGATGGAGTCTCATATGGCCCAGGCTGGCCTTCAACTATGTAGCCAAGGTTGGCCTTCAACTCCTGATACTCTACCTCAGAAGTGCTTGGAATACAGGCATGTGTATATTTTTAACAAATGCTTTTGTTTTTATTACCACTGCCATTGAAATCACATCAGTCCCTATGAATAAGGAATTTAATAAGTTTGAATGAATTTAATGACCAAAATGCCCAGGTCCTCTGCAAGAGCAGTAAGCATTCTTAATTGCTGAGCCATCTCTCCAGTCTAAAGTTTAAAGTCCCAAAAGTGGAGCTGGAGAGATGGCTCAGCAGTTAAGAACACAAAATTTGGTTAGTCTTACAATCACCACTAGATGGTACCAGTACACACTTTTAACACCAACTCACAATTTCAGTTTGTTCTGGTGCTTTAGGGTACACCTGTAGAAAGACCCGCTGTAAGGACATCAGAAGACAATCCTGGTGAAACCACCTCTTCCAAAAGAACAATGAAAGCATTTCTCTGACCTTTGTGTACAACCCTGTTACAACGAACTTCTATAGTTCATTCTTCAAATATATATTCAGTGTCTATTTTGTGTTGTATAATGAGCCTAACCCTGGAAAAAGATTTAATTTATTTTATTTTATTGTATGAGTGTTTGACTTGCATGTACATAAGGGTAATACGTGTTCAAGGCCTACAGAGGCCAGAAGAGGGCACTGGATCTCCTGGAACTAGAGTTATAGATAGCTGATAGCTGTCATGTGGGTGCTGAGAACCAAACTCTGCAAGAGCAATCAGTGCTCTTAAGCTCTGAGCAATCTCTCCAACTCCCAACCCTCGGAATTTAAAAAAAAAAAAAAAAAAAAGAACAAATGTACTGTGAATAAATAAGTGTGATAGATAGGAAAGGATATAAAATCATGAACTATAGGAGCAAAGACTCTCCCAACAAAAAATCCTAGAATCACAGACAACTCCATCCTAGAAAGTCTGGCCTGCATAGGTCCTCTTTGCTTGATTCCTAACACCAACACCACTTCTGTCCACTCAAACCTCTACTTCCTCTTCTAGGTCTTTGCCACTCTAATTCTCCCAATGAACTATTCATAGTCCCCAGGGAGCCCTGACTTCATGATTTGCCCCTGGGCTTCATTTTCCCTGGAATACCTTCTTTCTGGTCTCTCTCCCAATCCCTTCATGCTTGGTAGATTTCCCTTCATTCTTCAAAAGTTGAAACACCAGTTTCTCTGTAGAATCATTTTTGACACTCTATCTCCAACATCAGTGCTTTTGCTCAGCTCACATTTCTCCCTCTTCAGAATATTAAAATAGCTTAATAAGATAGACACGGTGGCACATGCCTTTAATCTCAGCACTTGGGAGGCTGAAGTGGGAATACTGTTCAGAGTTTAAGGTCAGCCTTGGCTACATAATGAGTAACAAGCCAGCCTGGGCTACATGTATTAAGATCCTGTCATAACATAACATAATATAACATAACATAACACATCGTAACATAACAGCTTGGCATGGGGCATACCTATAATCTCAGCTCTTGGGAGGCAAAGGCAGGAGGATCAGGAGTTTGTGGTCATAGTGAGTAAGGCCAGCCTGGGTTACATGAGACTATATTAATAAAAACAAAAGAGAGCATAATTGCCAGTCTTTTTAAAACTTAAAATTTTTTTTAAATTTTATTGAAACAGCTATATATTTCATTGGTTTTTAAATAAAACAAAATTCTAAAACATTTTTAACATGTAGCAATGGTGAAAATATGAAGGCAAGGCCTTTGGAGAGAACACATATATACACATGTACATGAGCTGAGAACCTTTATTAAGAGTATTCTAGGGGCTGGAGAGATGGCTTAGTGGTTAAGAGCACTGACTGCT